ACACACACACACACACACACACACACACACACACACACACACACACACACACACACACACACACACACACACACACACACACACACACACACACACACACACACACACACACACACACACACACACACACACACACACACACACCACACACACACACACACACACACACACACACACACACACACACACACACACACACACACACACACACACACACACCACACACACACACACACACACACACACACACACACACACACACACACACACACACACACACACACACACACACACACACACACACACACACACACACACACACGAGACTACAAGAAGACAGGCAAACTGCGGTCCAACACACGGCAACTAGATTTTAATTAAAGTAAATATTAATGTAACTTAGTGTAGAAAAAACGTTTCAAATGAGAAATGCAATAAAGCACGAAGCGATTAAAGAGAGAGTCGAGAGACGACACCACACCGAACCTGTCCTCTGAAGCCCAAGACAAATAAATATCATCAGCACCTGCAAAGTTGGCTAATAAAAAAACTGTATTTAGAAATCTGAGTAAGGATGCTTTCAGGTCCTTTTACTCCACATTTCAGACCAATCCTGAAATATGCGGCTCCAATGTAGATTGGTATTTTATCCACAAGAAGACATTATCAGGAGCTCACAGGAATGTCATAAGACTAATCCCGAAACTAAGAGGTTTAAGTTACAAGGAAACACTACAGGAATTAAACCACGTCACTGGAAAACAGAAGAGTTAGGCGAGACATGATTTCAATATGCAAAATTCTCATTGGAATCGACAGGTCTGATAAGCAACACAGAATAGGTGTAAACTGTGGTCTCACATGAAAGTTAAAAAAAAACTATTGTCCGAGAGAAAGCAAATGAAAGCACAAAAGTTAAGTGGTGCTTGCAAATTCCATGAACAATAAGTAAAATAGACTCGATAGAGCTCAGTAGCCTCAGGGACCTCTACAGCAATTGATTTATAGTATTGAGGAGGGGCCAGAGAGGCGAAGCTCAACCCAAGCAAGCACAGTTAAGCGAGTACACACAACAAACACATTCAGCTTGCAGCGATAAAGCAGACGATAAGTCACAATAACGAGGCTGAAATTAGACACCCAGCTCGCACATCTGAAAATAAAGGCAGCGAATAGGTTTCGGTCCGTCGTGGACCATTATCAAGCAGTAACTTGATAATGGTCCACAATGGACCGAAATACCTTCAATTCTTATATTTCCAGATATGTGGGTTGGGTGTCCACACCGAATAACTTGTTAATGCTTCAGGTTTGTATCGTTGATGAGGGTGTATAATAAGGGTGAGGGTGTATGATAAGGGTGAGGGTGTATAATAAGGGTGAGGGTGTATGATAAGGGTGAGGGTGTATGATAAGGGTGAGGAGTGTATGATAAGGGTGAGGGTGTATGATAAGGGTGAGGGTGCATGATAAGGTTGAGGGTGTATGTTAAGGGTGAGGGTGTATGGTAAGGGTGAGGGTGTATGATAAGGGTGAGGGTGTATGGTGAGGGTGAGGGGTGTATGGTAAGGGTGAGGGGTGTATGGTAAGGGTGAGGGTGTATGATAAGGGTGAGGGTGTATGATAAGGGTGAAGGTGTATGAAAAGGGTGAAGGTGTATGATAAGGGTGAGGGTGTATGATAAGGGTGAGGGTGTATAATAAGGGTGAGGGTGTATGATAAGGGTGAGGGTGTATGATAAGGGTGAGGAGTGTATGATAAGGGTGAGGGTGTATGATAAGGGTGAGGGTGCATGATAAGGTTGAGGGTGTATGTTAAGGGTGAGGGTGTATGGTAAGGGTGAGGGTGTATGATAAGGGTGAGGGTGTATGGTGAGGGTGAGGGGTGTATGGTAAGGGTGAGGGGTGTATGATAAGGGTGAGGGTGTATGATAAGGGTGAGGGTGTATGATAAGGGTGAGGGTGTATGATAAGGGTGAAGGTGTATGAAAAGGGTGAAGGTGTATGATAAGGGTGAGGGTGTATGATAAGGGTGAGGGTGTATGATAAGGGTGAAGGTGTATGATAAGGGTGAAGGTGTATGATAAGGGTGAGGGTGTATGATAAGGGTGAGGGTGTATGATAAGGGTGAGGGTGTATGATAAGGGTGAAGGTGTATGATAAGGGTGTGAGGGTGTATGATAAGGGTGAGGGTGTATGATAAGGGTGAAGGTGTATGATAAGGGTGAGGGTTTATGATAAGGGTGAGGGTGTTTGATAAGAGTGAGGGTGTATGATAAGGGTGAAGGTGTATGATAAGGGTGAGGGTGTATAATAAAGGTAAGGGTGTATGATAAGGGTGAGGGTGTATGTTAAGTGTGAGGGTGTATAATAAGGGTTAGGGTGTATGATAAGGGTGAAGGTGTATGATAAGAGTGAAGATGTATGATAAGGGAGAGGGTGTATGATAAGGGTGTATGATAAGGGTGTATGGTAAGGGTGAGGGTGTATGATAAGTGTGAGGGTGTATGCTAAGTGTGAGGGGTGTATAATATGGGTGAGGGTGTATGATAAGGGTGAAGGTGTATGATAAGGGTGAGGGTGTATGTTAAGGGTGAGGGTGTATGATAAGGGTGAGGGTGTATGATAAGTGTGAGGGTGAGGGTGTATGGTGAGAATGTATGGTAAGGGTTAGGGTGTATGGTAAGGGTGTGGGTGTATGATAAGGGTGAAGGTGTATGGTAAAGGTGAGGATGTATGATAAGGGTGAGGGTGTATGATAAGGGTGAGGGTGTATGATAAGGGTGAAGGTGTATGATAAGGGTGAGGATGTATGATAAGAAGAACCACCTCACACACATGTAGTTAATCAAATCAAAAGCTTTGTTCATAAATGCTTGTGAGTTGTAATTGGAAATGTTTACATAAAAATTACATTACATTAATTGCATAAAAGTCACAACAATAGCATGGCATACAGACATTGTCATTATCAGAATCAGAAACTTTATTCGTAACATTTTATAAAAGTCATTACGATAATGACTGGACTAAATTGGTGTATAGCATTTTAACAGCTTTTCACACCTATTGCTTCCGAGGAGCCCAAATACCTGTATTTACCTCGTCTGGTGTACAGCGATGTGGTGTGCATCTATGTGATGTACACCTGTGTGATATACACCTGTGTGATGTACACCTGTGTGATGTACACCTGTGTGATGTACACCTGTGTGATGTACACCTGTGTGATGTACACCTGTGTAGCGGACACCACCTGGGATTATACTAGTGTAGTGAACATCCATCAGTATCATATACACATGTATAGTTTAGTCGTAAGTTGTGCATGAAGCATGTATAAACCTAAAATGTATAAATGTATAAACTTTCTTGCATGTATAAACATACATACACATGAACTTGTGTATGTATAAAGAACTTATATGCATGTAATATGTTAATCTGATGAACTCGTCACAAAATAAAGATTGACGCTTTAGGCAATTAAATTAATCGAATTAATTAAATTATATGTTAGCACCAATTTTTAACTCAGGCTATGAAATTAATTAAAGCGTCTGATTGCTTTTTGCAACACATTTAATCCATTTATTCTTCCACTGTATCTCTCATCATCTTTCAATGGATTAAAAAGAGGATGATGAATCATGCCATGCCTAAGAGAGTAATGAAAGCCAACATAAAAATTTAATATATATAAAAAGATATATCCAAGGGGGGATACAATTTAGGAAAAGGTATTTCAGGGGGAAAAAATACTTTGATGGAGTGGAACGAATATTTAAATTGACATGAAAACAAGACACGCAAAAAAATGGGGTTCAGGTGAAGTGAAGAATGAGACGCTTTAGAGCTCAAAGTAATTGCTTCAGTTCCCACAGGTGTGGTTCGTTCTTATTACACTGTCAGGTGTTGTCATGTGTGTGGTGATATACATATGTGTTCACTGTATGTGATGAGGTTAAGAATCATCAACATATGACTGTAGGTGGCGTGACTAACAACCGGTGATATCATTTACACAAATCCAGTTTTATTACATTTTTTTATCAATTATCATGCTACAAAATAAATATAATTACTGGCTTATGTTTATATTACAAAATTCACTATTTTTAATACATGAAGATTCTATTATATTTCAGTGACATTATATATTCAGCAATATTACATGAATTATTCCAATCAATTGTTTGCTTCAAATTAATAAATAATCTATTAGAATTCTAACCTGTCATTTTTTTTTATATGTTATATTTTCTATGCTTCCCCCAACCACTTGGACTGGACGGTAGAGCGTCGGGCTCGCTTCATACAGGTCGGCGTTCAATCCCCGATCGTCCAAGTGGTTGGGCACCATTCCTTTCCTTCGTCCCATCCCAAATCCTTATCCTCGTATTCCTTCCAAGCGCTATATAGTCGTAATGGCTTAACGCTTTCTCCTGATAATTACCTTACTCTACGATGGACCCGTTTACTGGTTTGTCCAACAAAATCTATAATTAACTTGGTATTTCTTAAACAAGCTTTGCAGTTACTTAGCAATTTATTAGATTTTCATTGATAAAGTTTCCTATACAGCATTGATATTAATTTAAACTATGTATTTAGAAATTATTTAGAAATTATATAGATTTAGAAATTATTTAGATTTAGAAATTATTTAGATTTAGAAATTATTTAGAAATTATTTAGATTTAGAAATTATTTAGAAATTATTTAGATTTAGAAATTATTTAGAAATTATTTAGATTTAGAAATTATTTAGAAATTATTTAGATTTAGAAATTATTTAGAAATTATTTAGATTTAGAAATTATTTAGATTTAGAAATTATTTAGAAATTATTTAGATTTAGAAATTATTTAGAAATTATTTAGATTTAGAAATTATTTAGAAATTATTTAGAAATTATTTAGATTTAGAAATTATTTAGAAATTATTTAGATTTAGAAATTAATTTAAATTACTTAGAAATTCCATTAAAATTATCATAAAATGAAAACTGTGCAAGAGAACCCAAGAAAACCCAAGAGAGCCCAAGAGAGCCCAAGAAAACCCAAGAGAGCCCAAGAGAGCCCAAGAGAGCCCAAGAGAATCCAAGAGAACCCAAGAGATCCCAAGAGAGCCCTAGAGAACCCAAGAGAGCCAAGAGAGCCCAAGAGAGCCCAAGAGAGCCCAAGAGAGCCCAAGAGAACCCAAGAGAACCCAAGAGAGCCCAAGAGAGTCCAAGAGAGTCCAAGAGAGCCCAAGAGAGCCCAAGAGAACCCAAGAGAACCAAAGAGAGCCCAAGAGAACCCAAGAGATCCCCAAGAGAGCCCAATAGAGCCCAAGAGAGGCCAAGAGAGCCCAAGAGAGCCCAAGCCTCTGCAAGAGAGTCTCGGCTCAGGCAAGATCGCCCAAGACTTACAATACACAATGCAAGATCTTAACCTCTCTCTCTGTGCAAACGAGATCACATCCTCGCCGCCGATATCGCGGGCGAGAGAATCTCTAACGAGATCGTCGAAGTTTGTGCAACATACCGCGGGAAGCTGCCTGCACCACAGCTCAGGCTAGGAGACCCGGGCAGCGCTGGGTCTCACAGATTTTGAAAAAGATAAAAGGAGGTTTATAGTTAAATCAAAATTTTGAGATCCGATTTATATGGAATATAGATTCTTGATTATATTGAACCCATGACATTTTTATGTCCTAGTCTGCTCTATTAATTCCTCTGAGAATTGTACATGTGGTAATCATGTCTCCCTTCACTCTTCTATCTTAATGTGATACGAATATTAATTCCTTCAGTCTTGCCTCGTATCTCACACCTCCCAGTTCTGGGACTAGTCTAGTGGCGTATCTCTGGACTTTCTGCAGCTTTGTTTTGTGTGTTGACATGATAAGGACTCTACAGTGGCGCATGTGTGAGTGTGCGTTTTGGTATGTGTACGTGTGTGCCTGTGTGAGCGTGTCTAATGTGCGTGTGCGTGTGCTTACACCATTTTCACTTCTAGAATCATAATCACAAAAGCTAATCCATGCTCAAACTGCCGGAATTCTCCGTGTAAAAATATCATTCATTGTTCTACGTCTAATTAAAGAAGCTTATTCCAACGATCCCATTGTTCGACAAATTCCCTATCGGCCGGAATACTTGTAATTTGAAGATAAATAATAATGATATCTATCCCTCATTCTCTGTTTAATTCCTTCTTCATCTATGTGAAATCATCTTTAAGAAACTCCAGCCAATAAAATCATATCTGGAATAACGAGCCGATGGAAAACATGTTTTCCAATTCTTTAAGCTCCAAAATTCAAGTCTTTTTAATGAAAAATTCCATGAACTTTGGTGGTTTCCTTCCAGGATCTCTGAGACAGATTGCATGGGATGCTGTTCACTGGGGATCGTTATATAGGTCAATAATCTCGGACAAAATGAGATGAGTTGGTGCTATTACCTCTTTTGTGAAACCTATTGGGGTCAGGTCAAGTAAGGTTAATTAGAAAATTAATAACATAGGTACTTTTTTGTTATTATTAGTGATTTTAAAGTATATACTCTTGCTTGAAATTCTAATGATTGTGGAGATGCGCCGTTAAAATAAGTGAAGGAAGGAGAGTAGATGAACATTGAAGTAAAAAAAGTTTATGAAATGTCAGGATAAGCGAGACTAGGTCATATCATGATATATCGATCATGATATAACACTATAACAGGTCAGTTGAAGGTGTATCGAGATGGATCAGTTCAGTCAGGGTTTGCATAGGCCAGTTGAGGCGAGTGTAGTGAGGTAAGCTGAAATCAATTAACATAAATTTGTCTCAAGGGAGATTAGGTCATTCAGTTTAAGTGAGAGGAATGGGGTCAGTCCTAACATGAGTGAGCCAAGAATATCAAAATGGATAATTTTGGGGTGTTTTAGGGTCAAAGCACAGCAGATTAAGTTGAGTGAGTTATAACCAACAAATGTGAATTTTGTTCCTGCAGTGTGATGGCAGACTTGGCCAAATGAGACCAGGTACACGTCAAGTCCTTCACACAGACATTTGCATTTTTACCCATAACCAGCTTCCAGACAATAATCCCATTATAACACAATTGTATCCATGATTCCTACATGAGACGCGTGTCGAGTTAGGGAGAATATGAAGTGTAACCTCTCCAGGGACTCCCAGACAGTCATGAAGTCTGCAGCCTTGAGTTAATTACCAGAAAACTCAATTATACGAGACTGGTTGGTGGGTTATGGTGGTGGCGGCGGTCGTGGTGTGCCTACCGAACAGTACTTTCCCGCTTACCAATATTGTCGTATCTATTGCATTGCAATTTACCTATTGGACGTTCATATTCTTTGTCGAGTCTGTCCTTGAAGTTGTGGATGGCGGTGGTTTACACATTTTTCAGTTCTTTCCACTTGTTAGTCATCCATAGAGAGAGAGAGAGAGAGAAAGAGAGAGAGAAAGAGAGAGAGAGAGAGAGAGAGAGAGAGAGAGAGAGAGAGAGAGAGAGAGAGAGAGAGAGAGAGAGAGAGAGAGAGAGAGAGAGAGAGAGAGAGAGAGAGAGAGAGAGAGAGAGAGAGAGAGAGAGAGAGAGAGAGAGAGAGAGAGAGAAAATTATCTCACATTCCTTTGGCTCATTTGCGTTTCCTGCTTTCACCTGTGTCCTCTCGTCCTGCTTTATCCCGTTTTGAAGTGGTGGTATGATGATTATGGTGATGACATTGGTTGTGAGTGATGAGTGATGGTGATGATAGTGGTAATGATGACAGTGGTGGTTACTTTAATAGCTATTGGATAATGCTCTTGTACATTTCGAGGTATGGTGGGAGTGGAGAGCTTAAAGACTAACCAGTTAACATCACATCTTTCTAAACCCTTTCTAAAAAGGAATAAATTTGTACATATTTAGTATCTTTAAAAACAAAATGAGACCCTCATTGACGCAAAACTCATTATACTTCGCCCAAAATCCATTTTATTCCGTTATATTTTATGAAAATTAGTGTATAAGTTGTGGACACCTGAAATAGTATTGAGCTCGCGTAAACCATTTCATTAATAACACAAACTGACATACACAATAATTACTTTAAGGCCAACCTTACACCTTACAGGTTTGGCAACAATATTTACACTGAATATGAGAAGCACAAATTTTTCAATATTTTTTTTATGCGTAAAAACCCAGACAATAATTCGTACGTGGGGAAATATATAAAGGAAATACATGGACACAAGTTGATGGGGTTCAAAACAAAAATATAAATGATACACATTTCTTTTATGGAGCATAACATAGTCAGGACTATTGTTCTGGGTGATGTTGACGTGAAAACTGCAGCAATTCATTGCTTTATAAATGGCACTCGGGCTTCCCACGTGGCTTTGTCCAGCTCAGAGGACCCATTTTTTTTTTTTTTTTTTTTTCATTGTTTACTCTATTACTGTGTCTTTTGTGAATGTTGTTGTCTCTCTCACAATCTGCCGGCGTTTGTTTCTTTCACATTCTTCTCTATCCTATTTTAGGCCTTCAGAAGTTTTGTTGTTAATGTCTCTCTTTTTCTCTCTCTGTGCAGGTTTACTATATCAGGCTTTCCCACACCAGCCTTCCAAACAACAGGCTTCCAAACACCAGGCTTCCAAACACCAGCCTTTCCCACACCAGCTTTCCAAACACCAGCCTTCCAAATACCAGCCTTCCAAACACCAGCCTTCCAAATACCAGCCTTCCAAATACCAGCTTTCCAAACACCAGCCTTCCAAATACCAGCTTTCCAAACACCAGCCTTCCAAATACCAGCCTTCCAAACACCAGGCTTCCAAACACCAGCCTTCCAAACACCAGCCTTCCAAACACCAGGCTTCCAAACACCAGCCTTCCAAACACCAGCCTTCCAAACACCAGGCTTCCAAACACCAGCCTTCCAAACACCAGCCTTCCAAACACCAGGCTTCCAAACACCAGCCTTCCAAACACCAGGCTTCCAAACACCAGCCTTCCTAACACCAGCCTTCCAAACACCAGCCTTCCAAACACCAGCCTTCCAAACACCAGCCTTCCAAACACCAGGCTTCCAAACACCAGGCTTCCAAACACCAGCCTTCCTAACACCAGACTTCCAAACACCAGGCTTCCAAACACCAGCCTTCCTAACACCAGCCTTCCAAACACCAGCCTTCCGTACACCAGCCTTTCCCACACCAGCCTTAGCCACCCCCTGGCACTTACTAGCAGACTTATACTCCTCTCCACCCAATGATGTATCTGATACAGATATTCATAATTTTTGTCATACGTGTACGTATATTGCATGCGATCCTGTGTATTATATACACACTCATATATTTATTACATATGCTTCTTTAAACATGAAGTTCAAGCTCATATGTTTCATAGCAATATGCAACATGTTCAATTAGATTTCCATGTTTGCTATGTCCAACAGTGTATAACAATATAGGGTCATGTGTCAGTACTCCTGGGAGCATTTAACTCTATTCGTGCTCACGTATTATCGTTCATTCGTTCGTAGATACATAACTACCTCAAGTTGGATCTTTAATTATTAGATTTATCGAATTCCCTTTTCGTATCATTTTTATCGGCGTAATATCCTAACCCCAATTTACTCCGCAGAGAAATCCAATATCTAATATCTCCACAGTAATTAAATTTCGACGTTTTTTCCTTCTTTTTAGGCTTCAGGCTCGTAGATTAATAGTTTCATACCAGGAAATTTGGCCAGGTGATATATAAATGGTCATGCGTCGTCCATGCGTCGTTCATGCGTGGTCATGCGTCGTCTATGCGTGGTCGTGTGTCGTCCATGCGTGGTTGTGTGTCGTCCATGCGTGGTCATGCGTCGCCCATGCGTGATCATGCGTCGTCCATGCGTGGTTGTGTTTTGTCCATGCGTGGTCATGCGTCATCCATGCGTGGTCATGCGTCATCCATACGTGGTCATGCGTCGCCCATGCGTGGTCATGCGTCGTCCATGCGTGGTCTTGCGTTGTTCATGCGTGGTCATGCGTCGTCCATGCGTCGTCGTGTGTCGTCCATGTGTGGTCATGCGTCGTCCATGCGTGGTCATACGTCGTCCATCCGTGGTCATGCGTCGTCATGTGTCGTCAATGCGTGTCATGCGTCGTCCATGCGTGGTCGTGTGTCGTCCATGCGTGGTCATGCGTCGCCCGTGCGTGACCTCATGCGTTGTTTATTAGTTTCGTCCATTTTTACACATCAAATACTTAGGTTTAATTAAGTCATTCAATTTCTGTTTGATTTTCTACTCTCTTTAAACTATGCCTCTCCTGCTCCACCCTCTTCTTCAAACTCTTTCCACTTCAATTTCAATCCGAAGAATCCACGTTTTTTCTTTTTATTTTATTAATTATACAGAAACAAGTCAGCAGTCAGTACTGCACTAAATTGATGTGCAAATATTTCGGTTTGCAGATCTAGGTGAGTGCATGCATTCGTGCCCACGCACACACTGCCCAATAGGCAGAATTTCTTTCACATGATGCACCTGTTCACCTAACAGTAAATAGGTACCAGGGAGTTGGACGGCTGCTACGCTCTGCTTTCTAGCGATGTGTGTGTGTGGGTGTGTGTTAGAAATACATGTAGTTGATATAGAGGAACAAAATAGACGGTTAGAAAGGCGGGGTCCAAGAGCTAACAGCTCGGTTCTGCAGGCACAAAAAGTAAGTACACGATCTGGAGGTGATGTTTGCGAAGAGAAGCGGAGAGGTTAAAGGCAAGGAAATTAGTTAAGTAAGTAATTATCAAAGGAAGGCATCAAACCGTGAGGAAATTAGTTAAACGGAAGCTTCTGAGAGGTCCTCAAAGTTGAGCCGAAACGGGTACTTGAGAGTGAAGAAAGAGCTCCTTCTGTAATTGAATGAATGACAATATTAGTGATAGAGGGAAAGGTGAAGCAGCAGCTGTGAGGGGACGACGAAACAAAAGATGTAGGATATCTAGACTCGATATCACAATGGATCCAGCTGAAATACTGTGTAAGCCACTTGCAATATTCGACAATGGATCACTCCAGATAGGATTAATGCCAATTAGTTGGAAAAGGTGGCACACATCTTTCCAATATGAAGAAAAAACTTATGCGGGGACCACTCGACAACAACAAGAAGCATACCATGTAAAATGTTGGAGAATAATTAGGAAAACTAATATTACATCTAGAAAGAATTAACTTGACGTCAGCGAGCCATCACTGTGTCAAAGAGAGGCATCAGTGCCTAAAAACCTTTGTGAGATATATGACAAAAGGAGAAGGTGCGTAGACTGCACAATACTAAGACTATCATAAAGCATTTAACAGGCCCACTTAAGTGGCTTCTATACAAGCTAAAGAACGATGTTGGGGTAACTGGTAGAGTAACATCTTGGCTGATGAACTACCCAAGGAGTAGGGAACAAGGCAGCACCAAGCGGAGGAGAAATATGAATATGAGATAACAGTGTGTGTGTGTGTGTGTATATACATACGCCGGTGGCTGTGTGGATAGCACGATGGACACGTGGTCCTGTGGTCCCGGGTTCGAATCCCGGCGCCGGCGAGAAGCAAAAATGGGCAAAGTTTCTTTCACTCCAATGCCCCTGTTACCTAGCAATAAATAGGTACCTGAGAGTTGGACAGTGGTTACGGGCTGCTTCCTGGTGTGTGTGTGTGTGTGTGTTTGTGTGTGTGTGTGTGTGTGTGTGTGTGTGTGTGTGTGTGTGTGTGTGTGTGTGTGTGTGTGTACTCACCTAGTTGTGTCTGCAGGATCGAGCATTGACTCTTGGATCCCGCCTTTCGAGCATCGGTTGTTTACAGCAATGACTCCTGTCCCATTTCCCTATCATACCTGGTTTTAAAATTATGAATAGTATTTGCTTCCACAACCTGTTCCTGAAGTGCATTCCATTTTCCCACTACTCTCACGCTAAAAGAAAACTTCCTAACTTCTCTGTGACTCATCTGAGTTTCAAGCTTCCATCCATGTCCCCTCGTTCTGTTACCATTCCTTGTGAACATTTCGTCTATGTCCACTCTGTCAATCCCTCTGAGTATCTTATACGTTCCTATCATGTCCCCCCTCTCCCTTCTTCTTTCTAGTGTCGTAAGGCACAATTCCCTCAGGCGCTCCTCATACCCCATCCTTCGTAGCTCTGGGACGAGTCTCGTTGCAAACCTCTGAACCTTTTCCAGTTTAATTATATGCTTCTTCAGATGGGGACTCCATGATGAGGCGGCATACTCTAAGACTGGCCTCACGTAGGCAGTGTAAGCGCCCTAAATGCCTCCTTACTTAGGTTTCTGAATGATGTTCTAACTTTTGCCAGTGAAGAGTACGCTGCTGTCGTTATCCTATTTATATGTACCTCAGGAGATAGATTAGGTGTTACGTCCACCCCCAGGTCTCTTTCACGCGTCGTCACAGGTAGGCTGTTGCCCTTCATTGTGTACTGTCCCTTTGGTCTCCTATCTCCTAGTCCCATTTCCATAACTTTACATTTGCTCGTGTTGAATTCCAGTAGCCATTTCTCTGACCATCTCTGCTACCTGTTCAGGTCCTCTTGGAGGATCCTGCAATCCTCATCTGTCACAACTCTTCTCATCAACTTTGCGTCGTGTGTGTGTGTGTGTGTGTGTGTGTGTGTGTGTGTGTGTGTGTGTGTTTTACTAGTTTGTGTTTTTGCGGGGGTTGAGCTTTGCTCTTTCGGCCCGCCTCTCAACTGTCAATCAACTGTTTACTAACTACTTTTTTTTTTTTTTTTCCCACACCACACACACACACCCCAGGAAGCAGCCCGTGACAGCTGACTAACTCCCAGGTACCTATTTACTGCTAGGTAACAGGGGCATCAGGGTGAAAGAAACTTTGCCCATTTGTTTCTGCCTCGTGCGGGAATCGAACCCGCGCCACAGAATTACGAGTCCTTCGCGCTATCCACCAGGCTACGAGACCCCTAAGTGTGTGTGTGTGTGTGTGTGTGTGTGTGTGTGTGTGTGTGTGTGTGTGTGTGTGTGTGTGTGTGTGTGTGTGTGTGTGTGTCTGAAAAAAAATTAGTTAGTAGTAACAGTTGATTGACAGTTGAGAGGCGGGCCGAAAGAGCAGAGCTCAACCCCCGCAAACACAACTAGGTGAACACACACATGTGCGCGCGCGCACACACACATGTGCGCACACACACACATGTGCGCGCACACACACACACAGATGTGTGCAAACACACACACATATGCGCACACCCAAAGCACACATTCCACCCACCAATTCACTCACATTTTTACTAATAATATTTTTCAAATGGCGGTGGCGACGCTTTTCCCCAAAAAAGGGAAAGAAAAAATGTCAGACCTTTAAATCAAAGCCAAATCGGCAATGATTGCCTGAAAATGGGAAAATATTTCGCAATATGGGTTTAATTATAGAGCTTTTGCACAGTTCTGTTTAATGAATTGTTGGTGTCACGGGAGCTGGACATTGGGCGAATGTACACTTTTCTTTTCTTTTTTAATATATGTCTTATTAGGTAAGCGTATTGGAATGTTTAGCTGTTAATATTTCGCTTCGAGGTTCAGAGTGGTAAAACGCCAGGGTTTACCATAGGCCAAACGATCACTGGTTGGTTTGATGTGGCCTTGTTGTAGCTGTTTGATGTGGCCTTGTTGTAGCTGTTTGATGTGGCCTAGCTGTAGCTGTTTGATGTGGCCTTGCTGTAGCTGTTTGATGTGGCCTTGCTGTAGCTGTTTGATGTGGCCTTGCTGTAGCTGTTTGATGTGGCCTTGCTGTAGCTGTTTGATGTGGCCTTGCTGTAGCTGTTTGATGTTGCCTTGCTGTAGCTGTTTGATGTGGCCTTGCTGTAGCTGTTTGATGTGGCCTTGCTGTAGCTGTTTGATGTGGCCTTGCTGTAGCTGTTTGATGTGGCCTTGCTGTTGCTGTTTGATGTGGCCTTGCTGTAGCTGTTTGATGTGGCCTTGCTGTAGCTGTTTGATGTGGCCTAGCTGTAGCTGTTTGATGTGGCCTTGCTGTAGCTGTTTGATGTGGCCTTGCTGTAGCTGTTTGATGTGGCCTTGCTGTAGCTGTTGGATGTGGCCTTGCTGTAGCTGTTTGATGTGGCCTTGCTGTAGCTGTTTGATGTGGCCTTGCTGTAGCTGTTTGATGTGGCCTTGCTGTAGCTGTTTGATGTGGCCTTGCTGTAGCTGTTTGATGTGGCCTTGCTGTAGCTGTTTTGATGTGGCCTTTCATATGCATTATATACATAATATTTTTTATATATTAATATATGTAATTTGTATATATATATATATATATATATATATATATATATATATATATATATATATATATATATATATATATATATATATTTATATATATTTATATATGTAGTCATATGATTCACGTATATTTGATATTTCATTTATTTGTAACATGCACCGGTCTTTAATTGAGGCCACCGAATTGGCAAGTGAACACACAATTGATAATATGAGTTAAAAGACTTCTTGATACATATATTATACATTCTCATATACCTCCAACACCATCCGGGATGCTAATTACCCTAGTCACTGACTGGCCTTCCAACTAGTCCCTACAAAAATCCTACTCTCTGAAATTTTACCTAACCTGTCAAATTACTAGCCCAATAATTAGTCATTTCATAAGAGCACACACACACACACACCTCACAATACCTCTGGCA